TTTTCATACGATTGACACACTGTTTGATAACGGGGAACGAAAATAGCGTCTTTTAGCATCCTACAGTAAATTCTATTTTTCTCGATTATAGTTCGTTCTTTTCAAAATTCAACCTGAAATTCAAAATCAGCGTCAAAATCTGCACCTGATGATGTATAACTCAATAGAATTTAGGAAAAACAAATTTTCGACAACTCTGGGGTCTCCCACAGGTGTTAAAAACCAGGTGAAAAATGAAAAACATTGTTCCCCAGAAAAAAATACCTCATTTTACTCAGAATTCAATGCTGATTCCGAATATGTAATTATTTTTGCGAAGTATTTGGGGCGAAAAAGTGTTCTTACCGCCACTTGTCCTTTATTTATATAGTGATAATAAATCTGAAATAAAACGAAAGAGATAGTGAAAAATCCAAGGGGGAAAAGCGGCTCCTGGCGGCTCCTTATGGATTCTAGGATCCATATAATCCGCCAGGAGCTGCCAGGAACAGCCAGGATCTATAGAATCTACCAGGATCCTTTTTAATCTACGAGGAACGCTAGGTTTTGCAGTATTTCCGAATGCTTACAAAAGTTCTTAGTATACAGAAAAAGGAATAAAACAATTGATTAGCTTCTTTTATATTTTGATTTTATGTCGGTAGCAATGCTTTTAATACAAACTGTCTAGTTTTATAAAATACAAACGCTGCTACGAGAAAAAAACAACTTGTCCTATTTGTATCGATTATTTTATCAATGTATTGATCAATCTCTCATATTAATTTTTAAGCTCACAAGAAGTGGATCAATGTGACTTAACCTGAAACCATTGGTTGAAAAGTATAAAATTCTAGCTATTATAAGTCTTTATTCAAAAATATAGTAGTTAGTAGTAAAAAGAATATGTGAAAAAAACATAAGTTATTGTTGTTTATTGGTTTGTTGAACTTGTGATAGCCTACTAGATGATAAAGAATTTTTGTTTTTAGTTAATAGATGTGCTGCTGTTTGCTTGTGAATAAATTTTTGTTTGTTATTAATGAAAATTGAAAAATAATGATGCTTTTTTGATGGATCAAATTGTTCATAAATTTTCATTCCTTGAAATGTTTCTTTTGAAGTTATTATATGATGTACATCTTGATCATCGTTATCCAAAAAATTTTCGTTTGATTCATCATCGGTATCAAAACACATTTACTCGTGTTATCATTATCATCACAAGGTTCATCATCTGAACTTTCTTCAATATCATCGTCATTCACAAACGAATAATCAACAACTGATCGTTCATTGAGTTCTTGAAACACAAACGAGCTCAGTTTTTTAAAATCATTTAAACCATTTTTCTTTAATGTTTCTGTTAACTGCAACTCATTCATAATTAACTCGGCTTGTTGATATGCTTTGATGACTATTTTTTCGATATCAGTTATTGTTATTGGTGGTGAATTTTGCGTGCTTGTAGCTGTAAATGGTTCATCACGTCGATTTTGATGATGAATTGGAAATTTAATTGAATATGTTGCATCAGTCGATTCTTCTGTAGATTTAATTTTATTTAAAATTGAAATTTTTTCAATTTTACTCATAAATTCAAACATTGAGAAGTTTGTTATTGATGAAAAAGCACCATTTAATGATCGAGCACTACGAAATGTTGCTTCGCAGGGTTGACTACTGAAAAGATGTACATTTAGTGCATAGACTGGTAAATATCCGGAAGATACTAATATTATTATAGATGTTAAGCAGTGTATATTGATTTCCGATGAGAACCAAGCTGCTCTTGTGATAAAATAATTATCTTTTTCTACTTGAGAAAGACTTTGTTCGATTCTAAGACTACTCCTAAAAATTATAATAGAAGTGATTAGAAATTATTAGTGAAATATTTTTACCACCCCATTCGATATGAAAACACAACGATCCAACCATAGTACAAACGAGCAAGAATATCAGTATCTTTTTTAACATAAGTAAGAATAATTAACTTTAGTATAGATAAATAAACAAAGGTAGCTTTTGTATCTCTTCGATTTAGTAAATTCAAAACATCATTCGAAGTTATTTTTAAACAAGAAGAATAATTTTGTCGATCATGAGGACAAACATCAGACTTCATTAGATTGTGATCGATTTTCGGATGATTTTCTATTAAATTAAGAAGATGATTTGCATTAATATTTTGGTTATTGATATATAAAGTTGCGGTTTTTCATAATAGACGGTTTCTAATCTTTGTTACAAGATGTATGCCATCCTGCATACAAATAAATGCTTGGTTTGATCTCATAAAAAAAAATTCCACGTTCGTGGAATGTTAATGTTAAATAAATTGTTATTGCCTGTTATTGATTGAATATTTGGTACCCGAGGGAAGAAACCTAACGCTAGTCGCATAGCTGTGAGATATCGTGGATCGCAATCAGATGAAAATCCAACAACATTAATTTTTCTGTTTTTACATTCATTATAGATATGAATCCATTTCCGAAAAATATCAATAGAATTAACTTTATCGCTAGTTTCGTAAGCGGAAACAATATACGGTCTCGAATGAACTAATGATGACGTTTTTGTTAATAAAGGTTCAATGAAATGAGCATTAATGTGTGTCGATTTATCAAAATCTTCAAACCACTTTTTCAGTTCGCTATAACTATCTGTTCTGAATTGATTCATTAAAGGTAAACCATTAATTAATTCTGAAGAAAATCCAATGAAGCAGTCGTTTGTGCAATCATAAGATATTGAGCTGATTGCACTACTGCAATCTTCTGACTAAACAAAACAAATTTTGATTAATTGTTGTTACGATTTCGAAACAGCAGAATGTTAATCCTAATGATCTCTAAAAAATTCTGGCAATGCTAACAGATTCCTATAAAGCTTAGAGTGCATAAATCAGAATCCGCTGAATTTTTGTCAAGTTTATCGAAGTCCATCAGAAGTCCAGAAAGCCTGATACTATCTGATATATAAGACTATCTTATTTTATTTTGATTTTATTTTTCACTTGCTGATAGATTGCCATCAGCTTCGGTTGACTAATTCAAATTAGAAAGACTCAATTTGATCTGATAAAAACTAGACTATTAAGAAGAACCTACCGCGAATACATAATTAGAATCAATTGAATCCAAATAATTTTTAAGTAAATCAAATCGAAATTCACATTCACGCAATGGTAAACTTATGTTTTGATTATAATTTTTCAAAGTTGTAGTAGAAGGTAAAGCATCTGACAAATTGATCCTAATAAATTCATAGGCATTATGTCCTGCTAATATATTAAGGACGGATGCAAATTTATTGACATTAGGATCGAATTGGTAATTATTACTGGATCGTCCCATGTTATTTAAAGGATTACTAATAAAAATATTCGCAAAGGAGTTCGATTGGAATCCTTGATTTTCTTTATTGATATTCATTCGATCACATGTACAATGTTCTGGTTGTTTAATAACATTGGATGTTGTTACTTGAGATGGCAAATTGAGATTAGTCGATCATGATTCATGAAAATTTTTTAATAATTGAATAAATTGTTCAATGCTTGATCTAATTCCTGCTCGTACAACATAATTCTTATCATCGGCAATAATACAAGCTCGTTGTTTTAAATCAAATGTATCTTTAGAATTTATTTGAAAAAATGAAAAGATATCCGGTACACATGATAAAATTCGGATGTTTTTAATACATTGTATTTCTAAAATTTCACCTTCGACTACACCCACAAATTCTTTGACAAATTTATAAAAAACATCTCCAGAAACATGATGAAATATTGTCGAGAAATGGTAACAATTCTTGTTCCATACTTGCCATAGGTATAATATAATGAAAAGTTATCTAGAAAAAATTTAGATAATATTTATTTAATTTGCCTAGATTCTAAACAATTGGTTAGAGATGATTAAACTTTTCAAAAAAATGAAGCCATCATCATACTTAAAATAATTTAGTTATACATAGATATTAAAAAAATAGTAAAGAGTTTAAGTTAGGTTAAAGTTAACATACAAATAAACCAAGTTTTCAACAATAATGAATACAATAATGAAAATAAAAAAATAAAAATAAAATATTCAAAGTATTTTGTTTGCCTGTACATGATGTCCTTTTTTTTTCTTTGTAGTACCTGAAGATGATGGAAGTGTTGATAATCGTTTTCTTGCAGGAGAACAAGAACTGTTTGAGGTGGAATTGTTGTTTATAATTTGAAAACAATTGTTTTCATCGTTTAACTTATCCTGATCGCTTTCACTGCCATCATTAATAGTATTATAACAATTATTAATTTGTAAAGTTTTATTCAATAAATCATTTATTTTTTCTGGAATTTTACTCGATTCTTGTTTCTTCTTTTTCATCATAAGACAACGACTATATTTTATATGCTTGAAATAAGAAGAAAGTTGAAATGAATTTGCATTTGCACGATAAATAATTTTAATATTTCTATTACAATTACATTTTATGGGCCCATCAATATATGTATTTGATGGTGTTAAGTGTATCAAGTAATCAATATCACTTTTTAAAAGAATATTTTGAAATGTATTACTACAGTATTTTTCGATATTAACAGAAATCATGTGTAAATAATCATTCATTGACATCAAATTGGATGTTGTCGTAGTTGATGACGTTGATATTGAAATTGAACCAGTAATATATGAACTAAGTGTATTTGATAAAGATGCATTTAATTGTGAATGACTAGTTTTTGTACATAATGTTGAAGATTTTGAACCTTTTGTTCGCTTGACGTATTTGTAATTCTTGTCTTTTAGTACTTCTATCAAGTCAGCAATACCAGCTTTCACTCCTGGTTTTACAATAAAATTATTATTGCCTTCATCAATAAAACATATACGATTCTTTATATCAACAAGTTCTTTACATTTAACATTAAGCACAGCCAGAACATCAGGAACGTTTATGAGTGTTCTAATATTTTTAATAGACTGTAATTTTATTAACATCATTTCATCGACACCTAAGCATTGTTCAATAAAGGTATCAAATTGTTCTTTCGAATAAAAAAGAACTTCATCGGGTAAATTGTTTAGATCGATGTTCATAGTGGTACGTGATAATTTTCGATAAAAAAAGAAATGTATTCGAAAGAGGCGATGTATTTACTATAGAAAATATTAGTCGATATTTTCTCTCGTCTTGTTGAACACGTGGTTGTTTTCTCGGTTCAGAATGAATGAAATAAAATAACGAAATATTCGATTCATTGTCAAGACAGTTCGAATCACACTGTTAGTTTGTTTTGTCTTCTCTGTGTGCGAATACAAATTACGTAAATGACTTGGTGCGTTCTTCTATACTGATTTTTCTTGCCCATTTTTTCATTTATTTTTAAAAATAAAAATTTTGGTATATCTAAAATGATTTTCAAGTCGTATTTTTTATTTTCAGTTTGACAATAATTTAGCTTCTTAATAACATCCTGCAAGATATCAGTGCTTATGAGACTTTATCTTCTGTAAACGAATATAATGAGAATAAACAATATCAGAAACCCTTCGAAAGCAACATTGATGAATTAGATCAATCTTAACATTCGATTAAAGGAATCAAGCGAGACAGATTCTGAAATAATACTTATATACTCATATTTGGAAGCAACCAGCAAGATCCACTAGAAGCCATCAGAAGTCGTAGGAGCCGCTTTTCCCCCTTGCTGCAAACGCTCCACACAACATAGAATACCGACCACAATGTCTGCAATACAGACGAAAATCCCCTTTAAAACGATAAAAATTTAAAAAATTCTAAGAATTTCATTCGAACATACGCCTACCATTCGCTGTAACATGTGGTTGAAACAATCAAAACTTTCAGGAAATTACAAATAAAAAGCCATAGATCTCAAAATACTTAGAAATCGATGAAATCAACCATTCAAAAGTCAAGAATAATCAACCATGTAGATATGAAAAACTTCATACATGGTAACTCCTAGAATTTCATGACATGAGTCGTTTAAATGTTTAGAATTTTGAACCATGCATATATAAAAAAAATCATGTATCGAAACTCCTAGGAGTTGACGATATGTGCCGTTTAAACGTTCAGAAATTTCAAATATGTAGATATTAAAAAAATAGCTTATCAAAACTCCTAGAAGTTATTCATATCAGCCGTTTAAACGTTTAGAATTTTAAGCTATGGAAGTTTGAAAAAATTTATATCTCAAAACTCCTCGAACTCGACGAAACTAGCCATCTAAATGATTACAATCTACTGTAAAAAAGATGTCCGAAATATTTGCTGCTTCACTATGTTGAAATATTGAGGCGCCCATGGTTTAAACACTTAAATTTTTGGAACGGTTAATCTAACAGA